CCAGCCACATGCCGCCCCGAGTCCTTGAGTGTGGCTGAGTCAGTGGCAGAGCAGCTGAATTCTCTATTTCATTACAGCTTTAACTCATGTGAATTTAACTACGGCTACCGGCCCCCATATTGAACAGCACAGCTCTAGAGGGTTTTAATTTGCTCTCCCTTCTCGTGAATGCCTTCTGCAAGGTGCAGAGAGGGACAGGGACGATGCCCTTGCGATGAGACCAGCACTCAAGAGCTGTGCACCCTCCAGAAAGTTCCCTAATCCGACTGCACTTCAATGTCCTCCTCTGCAGAGTGGAGATGTTAACATCAGCGCTTGCCTGATTGGGTTATTCTGAGGATTCAACGGCTTCACGGACACGAAGCACTCAGAGCAGTGAATGGCACTTAGCAGATGCCACTCAGGCCCTCTCTTCCGTGGTCTCAGTTGTCACTGCATTTTTATGAGCAGCACTGTTTGAGTCCTATCTGTTCCCCACGGACAGGCTTCCTGTCTGTTTCCCCCAGCACCTCATGCCCAGCACATAGCGTGTCCCCGACACAGGCAGTGGGGGCCCAGGTCATTAGCAGGGAGCTGGATTCAAAGTGGTGCAGCTGGAACTCACACCCGTGCCCATATGGGACGCTGACACTGCAGGTGGCAGCTTTACCCGCTAAGTCACAACACTGGCCCCTAGTTTCACAAGTTGGAGGACAAAACCCCGCAGGGGTATGAGCGCCATACTCCTCGAGCCCTCCCCACCAGCCCTCCCCTTCCTGGGAGCCCTCAGTGAGTGAGCCCTTAGTGAACTAGAAGTGACATGGGATAAGGCAGGTAGCCAGATTAGGGTCAGGAGCTGAAAGCCACACCTCCCCTGACCCTGTAATCCTATCTGCCCACTTGTCAATCACATGACCCTTCCCCAGGATGTACTGCCCCTTACCTGGGACCTGGGGGTGGTACCATGTAACCACTCCCCTTTCTAAGCTCCTAAGAAGCCTGGCAAAGGAGAGAGGGCTGTGGCTCCACGTGGACCCAGAGCCAATGGGGTATAGAAATCTCTTTTCCCTTCCTGCCCACTCTCCCTGAAGACTGCCCATGGGTGTGTGTGTGTGTGTGTGTGTGTGTGTGTGTGTTTTCTTCACCTTTGAAATAAATGTCATCTCTTTGTACATTGTATTTGTACCTGTCCTTAGCATGCTTCTTCAAAGTCAGGGGCAAGGGTCTAGAAGAGGAATTTAGAGCCAACCTAGCTCACAGCAGAAGTAGCATCAGGTCCCAGGGACCTCATCAGGGAATGAGCTGCCCCTCTGTGTATCACCCTATTGGGGTTCAGGAAACAGTCTGGATCCTTTAAAAAGGAATCGCTTCGTCTTGTGTTGCTTGGTCACCTGTCATTCTCGACGTTTTATCAACAGTAACTGTGAAATTGATGTTGACTCTCTGGTTTAGGAAAGAGAAATAGCTGTTTAAAAGCAGTTAAATCAAGGGGTGCCAGCTGAGACTGTGCTGTGTATGTGCGCGCGCGTGTGTGTTAGCAGAGGCGCTGATCCAAGGTTCTCGTCTTTGTTCAAGAAGGCATTCAGGGCCGGCGCCACGGCTCAACAGGCTAATCCTCTGCCTAGTGGCGCCGGCACACCGGGTTCTAGTCCCGGTCGGGGCACCAGATTCTGTCCCGGTTGCCCCTCTTCCAGGCCAGCTCTCTGCTATGGCCCGGGAGTGCAGTGGAGGATGGCCCAGGTGCTTGGGCCCTGCACCCCATGGGAGACCAGGAGAAGCACCTGGTTCCTGCCTTCGGATCAGCGCCGTGCACCGGCCGCAGCCCGCCGGCCGCTGCGGCCATTGGAGGGTGAACCAACGGCAAAGGAAAGACCTTTCTCTCTGTCTCTCTCTCTCTCTCTCTCTCACTGTCCACTCTGCCTGTCAAAAAATAAAAATAAAAAATAAAAAAAGAAGGAATTCAGATGTGAGACAGAGAGGAGTTCTAAGCCTGGTGACCAGCTTAATGAAGAGAATACACCTGTTGGACCAGGCCCGCATCTCAGGGAAGAACTGAGCGGCCCAGTCAGCTGTACACAGGAGTCTCTATAGATGTGAGTATGGCTGCTCCTTTCTCCTCCCCACCCCTGTCTCGGGTGTCACTATGCAGAGGGCTGGGGCGGGTGTGTGTGTGTGGAATTCCTGAAATTGCTCCCAGGACTTCATCAGCGCTGTGTTACTGGCCCTCAGAGCTCCCTGGGTACAGGACAGGCGAAGAATCCTGAAAGCTGCCCCCAGGAGAGGGCTGGGACCCACCTAGCGAGGCGGTGGGCCAGGGCCAGGACTTGGAATTGCAGGTGCTGGTCTGCTTCCAATGCTTGTTTTTGCATATTTTTTTTTGGTCTTTCAACCACACAGTTCCCATCTTCTTGGGCCCCTCTTACACACACGGGCCAGTCTGCCTTGCTTTCTCATATGTACACATGTACTGGGACAGGAACATGCACTTTACATGTACATGAGCCTGCAATATGGCTCTGTGTTTGTATTGTGTGTCAGCCAGTGGCGGGCACAGCTGTGTGTGTCTACAGGTGTCTGTGAACATGTGTGTGTGTGTGTGTGTGTGTGTTTAAAGATTATTTATTTACTTCAAAAAGAGAGAGAGGGAGAGATGGAGAGAAAGGTCTTTGATCTGCTGGTTCATTCCCCAAATGGCCTCCTTGGCCGGGATTGGCTTATGCTGAAGTCAGGAGCTAGGAGCTTTGTCTGGGTCTCCCACTTGGGTGCAGGGACCCAAGCACTTGGGCCATTTTTCACGGCTTTCCCAGGCTTTTCCACTTGGGAGACCTAGATTGAGTTCTGGGCTCCTGTTTCAGCCTGGCCTAGTCCTGGCCATTGTAGCCATTCAGTGAATGAGCCAGCAGATGGAAGACTTTCTATCTCTCTCATAAATATTTTTTAAAAGATTTATTTATTTATTTGAAAGGCAGAGTTACACACACACACACACAGAGAGAGAGAGAGAGAGAGAGAGAGAGAGAGAGAGAGAAAGGGAGAGAAAGGGAGAGAAAGTCTTCCATCCAATGGTTCACTCCCCAGTTGGCCACAATGGCCAGAGCTGAGCCAATCTGAAGCCAGGAGCCAGGAGCTTCCTCTGGGTCTCCCACGCAGGTGCAGGGGTCCAAGGACTTGGGCATCTTCTACTGCTTTTCCAGGACATAGCAGAGAGCTGGATCAAAAGTAGAGCAGCCGGGTCTTGAACCGGTGCCCATATGGGATGCCGGCACTGCAGACAGCAGCTTTACCAGCTAGGCCACAGCGCTGATCCCTCAAATAACTCTTTAAAGAGAGAGAGAAGGAACAACTCAGAATAGAGCTTGGGGGTCCCTGAAGTCCTGCAGGGTACTGGGGTGTGTGAGGGTCCAGATGCCAGCCCATGTCTGTGTGCATTACTGTGCCCCTGCTGGGGGCTGGGTCCAGAACACACAGCGGGAACATCAGGAAAGCAGCCTGTGTCAGCCTGGGGCACCTGTGGCCACTTCAGAAACCCGCAGACTGCCAGGCAGGAAGAAAGGACGGGGTGGCCTCCACTGCGGGACACAGGGAGAAAGGCTCGCCCAGACCTGCAGCCTCCCCTGGGCTCCCCCTGCCTGTGTTGGAACCACAGGGATCTGTAGTCTCTGGGCCCCTCTGCCCGGATGCCCTGTGTGGCCCACAGATGTTCTCGCCAGAGGATGAATGGGGACTGTGAGTTGTGCACTAAGGACTCTAGCAGCCCTGGGGTGCTGCCATGTTCAGGTTTCGGGGTGCTTGCAAGTTTCCTTGACGCGTGATGTCGCAGGAAAACTAATGAGGTGAGTCCGTGTGCTGGTGTCGAGGACAATTTATGAGACCGGACACAGCGGTGAGAGAAGAAATGAAGTTTTATTTAAGTTTTATTTTATTTTAAGCTGCTGGAAAAAAGGCCAAGCGGCCGGGGTCTTGCAGTCTAGGGGTAGCCGGATGTCTTCACCACGTCCGCTGAGGGGGATGTGGTGGTTACACACCGGCGGCCACGAGGGCAGCCCTTTCTGACTTGTCTCTGTTGAAACCTGAATCTTGTCCGTTGGCAAGTACTTTGCTGCACTGGGCTTCCATCCTCATTTGTGTAGCACGTCCCAGCTGGCTGGGAGCTGCAGAATGGAGCCAGTGTGGACTGCTTCTCGTCCCAGGCTCCCTCAATAACGTTTGTGGAAGCAGCATTGTGCCACGGCAGGTTAAGCCACCGCTGGCGGTGAGGACACCATGCCTGTTGGAGTCCGGGCTGCTCCCCTTCCAATCCAGCTCCCTAATCGGCAGGGGAAGGCAGATGGTGATGGCCCAGGTACTTGGGCGCCCTGCTGCCATGTGGGAGACCCAGGTGGAGCTCCTGGCTCCTGGCTGTCGGCTTCAGCCTGGCCCAGCCCTGGCTGTTGTGGCCATTTGGGGAGAGAACCAGCAGGTGTCAGATCTCGATCTCTCTCTCTCCTCTCTCTGTGTGTCTCTGCCTTTAAATAAATACTAAATAAATAAATATTTAAACTGTAACATTTGCATCAGATTAAATGTCCTGTTGGACTATGGCGGAAACTGAGACTGGATTCGCGCTGGTGTTGGGGACTTGATGAGCAGAGATGGGTGGAATTAGGGTCAGCGCGGATCACGGGCTAGGTAAATCAACAGCTAGCGTGCTGGTTCCAGCACAGGCCCTGGAGCCAACTGCAGGGTTCTAGTCCACTACGTAATTGAGTGGCCATTGCAGATCCTTCCTCAACTAGGCCGGTTAGCCAACAGCGGCGGCTCCCAGGCGCCCGGAACCTGAGAAACCACGTGCGCGCCGGCGGGCCCCTACACGCATGCTCAGCCCAGGCGAGGTGGGCGTGGCCACGAAGCTGCGCGGGGCGGGGCACCCCGGCGCACGCTGAGGGGGCGGGGCCGCGCCTGCGCACGTCGCCCGTCATGGCGGCCCCCTGAGTCCCGCAGAGGAAGCCGTCGCAGGTCAGGTGCCGCGGCGGTAAGACCCTGGGAGGGGCGCTGGGACGGCGTAGGGTGTAGGGAGCCTCCCGCCTCCAAGCCTAGCTTTGGAGCTTAGGCGCCCACAAACCTGAAACCGAAGGCCCGAGCCCTGTTTGCTTTCCTAAACAGGGGTGTTTGGAGGAGTCGGTCTCCTCCCTTGGGCTTCGCAGCCGGCTCCGGCTCAGGAAGGGACGGAGATGACCCCGCCGGGAGAGGACGGGGCGAGCCCGGGCGGTAGCAGGTCTCTGGAGCCCCTGGCTCCACGCGCCGCTGCCTGGCCCGGTCTGCTCCCCGCTCCCCCGAGCCCTGCTTTCTCCCCTTTCCAGCCCTTACCCCCTTCTGGTCGGGAACCGCCAGAAAATCGCGCCCAGTTCTGAGTGAGGGACAGCTGGCAAGGAAGAAGCCGGGCGGAGGGGCGTTGTGTGGCCCCCCGCTTTTTCTCTGCGGGCATCTCAGTCCAGAGGTTGTCCAGTCTGCTTTGAACTGTTAGCGTCGTGGTCCGAGCTGCCCACCATTCCCTCCGCCTCCGGCCACTCTGATTTTGCCGGTCATTAGCCGAGGGCGTTGCCCGAGGAGTGAGCACTTCTCCATTGCTTGCTTGGACGCCCTGGAATCCAGCATCGGTTTTTCAGATCCACGGCCTCGCTTCACAACCCACTTGCTGTTTGCTGGCTTGTGGTAGGAAATCCACCGTGGAGACTGATCAGGAATCGTCTTGTTTTGTAAGAATGTCGTCTTTGGGACAACTGCTGCTGCCCTTGGTAGGCACTTAAAAGTAGGGCCTCCGGATGCGTGTGCTTGGATTAGGAGGATAGCCTGGGTTATGTGTATTTTTTTTATTTTTATTTTTTATTTTTTGACAGGCAGAGTGGACAGTGAGAGAGAGACAGAGAGAAAGGTCTTCCTTTGCCATTGGTTCACCCTCCAATGGCCGCTGCGGCCGGCGCACTGCGCTGATCCGATGGCAGGAGCCAGGTGTTTCTCCTGGTCTCCCATGGGGTGCAGGACCCAAGCACCTGGGCCATCCTCCACTGCACTCCCGGGCCACAGCAGAGAGCTGGCCTGGAAGAGGGGCAACCGGGACAGAATCCGGCGCCCTGACCGGGACTAGCACCTGGTATGCCGGCGCCGCAAGGCGGAGGAGTAGCCCAGTGAGCCGCGGCGCCGGCTGGGTTCTGTGTATTACGATGGGTTATAACTTCCCTGGGGAGCTTTGTGACATACCGATGGCACACCACCTGCCTAGCTAGGAGCTGGTCCTGTAGGGAGAAGGGTCATTTGCAGGTTTGTCCAAACACCTGAAACCAGCCGCAGGAAAGGAGGTGTTGCTCTTGTGTTAACACCTGCTGTGGGTCAGGGACGCTGCAGTTTACCCGCTGTGGTCCGCAAGGTGAGCGAGCGCCGAAGAGACAGGTGCAGGGGGTGAAGTGACTTCCCGGGTCGCATCCCTAGGAAATGGCTGACACCTGTTCTGCCCGGCGTCCAGCCACTCAAGCTGCTTATCTGTGAGGTGTGGGACATTTGCGACTGTCCTGTGTCCAACCACTTGCCTGGAGCTCGGTTTTCTTTCTTTCTTTTTTTTTTTTTTTTTTTGGACAGGCAGAGTGGACGGTGAGAGAGAGAGACAGAGAGAAAGGTCTTCCTTTTCCATTGGTTCACCCCCCAAATGGCCGCAACGGCTGGCGCGCTGCGCCGATCAAGAGCCAGGTGCTTCTCCTGGTCTCCCATGGGGTGCAGGACCCAAGCACTTGGGCCATCCTCCACTGCCCTCCCAGGCCACAGCAGAGAGCTGGCCTGGAAGAGGAGCAACCGGGACAGAATCCGGCGCCCCGACCGGGACTAGAACCCGGTGTGCTGGCGCCACAAGGCGGAGGATTAGCCTAGTGAGCCACAGCGCCAGCCTGGAGCATGGTTTCCCAATTTTAGTTACTGCTGTGTCGCCTTCATAGTTTTTCCATATCCAAGCATCGTCTGTGCGGTGATTCCCCCTGTGGCTTCTTTCAGGCCACCCACTTTTTTTTTTTAATTTAAGAGGAGAGGTTTGAAACAACAAATGGTAGGTGGTGTCAACTTCTAGAATAAAAAGACTGGAGCCAAAACAGCTAAACGCGAACTGGGAATTGTGATTGGTCCTGGTTTGAAGGAAAATAACAGAGACATTGAGAGGAGAAAATTGTGGGCTCGGTTTAGGTGATAGTAGGGAATCGTTAATTAGGTCTGCTTGTGGTCTCGTGGTTATATAGGAGAATTTAGGAGAGAGACACTGGGGAATTTAAGGGAAAATTTCTTTCCATCTGCAGACAACTCTGATGTATAGATGATTGACAGGTGGGACAAGCACATGTGACAAAATGTTGACAGTCGTTGAATCTAAGCAGTGGCCATGTGGTTTGATAGGCTGTTCTCCTAACTCTCTTATCCAAAAATTTTCATAATCAACAATGAGAAAAGTTAGAAATGAAACTTTCTCATTGTAGATGGGAGTACCCCACGTAAAAGGTGATTGTACTGAGTACAGTACAAACAGAAGACAGTCTGACCACCCCCTTCCTGGCCAAGGCTCCGAGCCCTCTCCTTAGGAAAAACCAAAGGGAACTGGAAAGGAACTCACTGGCTTCCCCCGACACGTGCATGGCTGCACAGCTGTTGGCCACCTGGCTGGGTTTGTCCACGTTGTGTCCCCCACCTGAAGACCTGTTCTTGCCTCCCAGGTGCTCCTGTCCTAGAGTTCCCGTGGGACTCGGGCCATGGTCCAGCTGGTTCCCGCCCCCGCCATGGATGAAATCACCTTCAGGAGTGACACCGTGCTGTCAGACGTCCACCTGTACACCCCCAACCACAGGCATCTCATGGTGCGGCTCAACGGTGTAGGGCAGCCAGGTAAGGGCCTGGCACAGCAGCCCCGCGCCCTGGGAAGCCCATTTGGTTTTCTGCTTTCTCATACTTGGCTTTGTGGGGAAAGATGGAGAAGACCAGGTTGTTTAACTGTTCCCCTCACATAGCTTCCAAGTGCCCGTGCTTCATTGAGCAACCTTGTGCTTCCCTGAGCATGTCCTGCGTGCCAGGCCCCAGCTGGGTGCTGGGAGCACAGACGTGAGTGAGCCGAGCCAAGCGCCGCCCTCAGCGAGTCCACGGTCCGCTGGGCAGGCAGAGCACCAGGCCTCCCTCTGCCCACTGCACTGCCCCGTCCAGTCACCCTTCCTTTGCCTGGCTGCCTCTGTCTCCTCCCACCTTGGCTCCGTGCACCCTCCCTCACCCACCTCCATGCGGGGGGGGGGGGGGGGAGGGCGGGAGTTTATACAGTGAAACTACACTGTAGCCCTCCCCTGATGCAGAACTCCCAGTGGCTCCCCGTTCTCAGGATAACACCCAGGCCCCTCACCTTGGCCTAGCCTCTGCCTTGGAACCCCTTTCCCCGCCGTCTTCCCTGCCCCCGTTCTCCATCCCCAGCAGCTAGCGTGGTACTCCGCAGGTCCCTGGTGGCTTATTGAGTGAGGGAGTGAGGGAAGCACTGTATGAGTACGCAAGCCTGGGATGCCATGGGGGCGGAGCGGAGAGGCACTGGGTGAGTCCTGAGACCGAGAAGCGAAGGCGCGGCGTCCCAGGCCTCATAGGCAGAGCGGGCAGCCTGTGCAAAGGCTGGGGTGGGCGGCGGGCATGCCAGCAGGCCCTGCCCCTGCGGGTCACAGCTGCATTTCCTAGAAGGCAGGTGAGAGAGGGTGAAGGGAAGAGAAAGGACCAGAAACGCAGCATTGAGCAGCTGCCTGAGCTAGGTGCTTTGAAGCCGTTACTGCCGCATAGCCCCAGACTGCCCTGAGGCGGATACTGTTACCTGGCAATGCAGGGGAGGAGCCAGAGGCCTGCTCAGAGGACGTGGGCCCAGGGCTACCCACTCCGAGGTCCTTGCACCCTGCCTCCGCCCACCCTCTCCTGGTACACAGGGCTCTTCCTAGAACCTCTCCCTTGGACTTTGTGGCCACCATGTGGGGGTCACAGCTGAATCCTTTGGCCCTCTCTGCTGCCATGAGTGTATCTCCACCTGGCCTTTATAGTCTTTCTAGTTGGCAAGCCTAGTTTCTCAGAAAAGGGGAGGAAGGAGGAAAGAGGGTGCCTGGGGATTACTCTCGTTGCTGTCCTGCCTTTCAGTGTTCCTGTCCCAGTTCAAGCTTCTGTGGAGTCGAGACTCTCAGACAGAGCCGGGGGCTGAGAGTGGTGGTCACAGCCATGTCCACGCAGAGGGGACCCCTCCCGGAAGTGGCTGCACTGATGAGGGTTCCTCCCTCTCGCCTGGGGCTGGCACCACCAGCCAGGAAGGGGCAGGAGCTCAGCTGGACGAGGACGGGGATTTGGACGTGGAGAGGAGACCACGCGCCACCTCTGATCCCGACCCGGCAGAGCCTCCGAGAGACAAGGTACAGCCCGTGGTTCTAGCACAGGAAGAAGACGATGGCCCGGGAGATGAAGCTTGGGACGGCAGCGCCCTCGGTGTCATCAGAATAGGTAAATGAAGGCCTGACTCGCCTGCCACCAGGTGGCGCCACAGTCACTGGCCGCAGGAGTGTGCTGAGTGCTGGCTGTGTTCAGGCCCCGGCCGGAATATTGTAGGCAGGACAGGTTGTCAGAACCAAGTCAGCTGAAACTGGGAGCAGAGCAGGGCCAGTGCCGCAGAGAGCTTTCCCAAGCACAGGTCACTGTCCTGCCCAAGACCCCTTAGCAGCCCCCGTCGCCCTCAGGACGGAGTTGTAATGGCTGAGCCTCGCTCACCTCTGTGCCTCCTCAGGACCCGCACACTCTGCTTGCACTTCCTTCTGGGCCTGTGTTGTGCCGTGCCTCCTTCCGGGAGTGCCTGACCCCAGCCCCTGCCTGAACACATTCCTGATGGTCGTGCAGGACCCAGCTAAGCCATCACCTCCTCCAGGAAGCCTTGCTGCTCTGACTGGGTGGGCAGGGGTGTGGTCAGAGTAGGGTTTGTGGGAGACCCGGGCTGGGCTGGGGACTTGGAGCTGGGGAGATGCTGGAATACGCAGATGGAGAGAGACAACCCGTGTTGATAGGTGTGTGTGTCAGACGGAGTGGGAGCCAGAACCCCCAAGAGAAAGGGGAGGTGATGAAGGGCAGGGAAGGCAGGGCAGGAGCAGGTTTCCATGGATACTCAGAGTCAGGGTCAGGAGCAGCAAAAGTCACTTCCTAGGTCAGTTTCTTGTCAGCCTCCCAAATAATGTGGCTTTCAAATTCTCTCTTGTCTCCATTTGGCTTTAGAAAAACATCTCGACACATTTTGATCTAATTAGTTTTTCCTGTCTGTGACCCTGGCCTGGCTCCAGGTGACCACGCTCTGGGCTCCAGTGACCCCCTCCCCCCCCCAGTAGTATCAGGACTGGAGGCTTTGACTAGATGGTGGTTTTCAAGTGTTCACTTAGGTGCTGAACCCCACGACTGAGGTGTCGATGTTACGTCTGCATTTTGTAGAAGAGGAAACTGGCTTGGCTCTGAGCAGCTAAGTGACCATAGTGGCCCAGCTAGAAGCCAAGAAACCTACTGTGATGCTAGTCAGACAGTCACCTCTGGTGGGGAGTTCACCAGTCCCCTGCATAGCTGGGAACACAGTAATTATGTCCACAACACCCCACGGGGAAAAGTAGCCCAAGCACGCAGGATCGAGACCCTGATCAAAGGGGCCCCGGCAGCAGGAACCCTGGGGCATGAAGTAAAGTGGGTGGAGGAGACCTTGCCAGGCCCCTGGAGGGAGAGGGCAGAGAATGGGAGGGGGTGAGGAATCATGCAGCTGCAGAGATGGAAACAGCCACGGGTAGGGGTGAGGGACAGCTGACAGAACCTGGAGCAGGGCCCAGGATGGGGGACCCCAGGAAGGGTGCGTCACCCTTCCCCCGTCTTCCCTTCTAGCCCAGGCACACGCACACACACGTGCCTTCAACCCGTCAGTTGAGTCCCTCTGCCCCCAGCTTTTTAACCAGGTCCCTGGGCACCCTTTTGGGGTTCACCCCACTTCTACGAAATGCAGCTGTAACATCAACACCGCAGTTGTGGGGTTCAGCACCTAAGTGAACACTTGAAAACCACCACCCAGTCAGAGCCTCCAAGAGCAGCATCTGGGGACTGGTACCTAGTACCTGCCCAGTGAAGGAGCTCAGTCCTGGCTGGTCCCGAGCTCGTTCTGTTTGGTTTAAGTCAGTCTTAGACCACGGCACTTTTCCTTCTGCAGAGAGTGCATTTGGTTAAAAGTGACTTTAGGCCACAGTGTCAAATCCAGCTAGGATGCCTGTGCACGGTGCCCTGGTCCCTTTGTTTTTGAGGCTCACAAAGTCTGCATGTAGGGCAGAAACCGCTGGTCAGATTTTCCTTGGAGAAGCCCTCAGCAGTGGCCCTGGTCCTCAGGAGAACCTCAAGAAGCCAGCGTGTCTCCTGGCACGGGGACAGGGCAGCTGGCTTGCATTTTGAGCCCCTGTTGCATACTGAGAGTTCATGGGAGCCAAAAAGAAACCAGGAAGGTGCAGACCACCGTGGCACCCTGCAGCCACTTCCCCTCCCTCGTTCCTCTGTCTTACTCTGTTTTATGAGCATGGGTTTGCTTTGTGCAGGGCTAGTGAGCTTCGAAGCTACCCTCCCAGGCTGTGTGTGTGCTAATTTGGTAGCCAGTCCCATCTCGCTCACAAATACCAGCATGCGTTCTTACTTAACAGCAAAAGTGTTTTGCATCATGGCTTTTTCTGTTTGATCTTGTGTTTCTGTTCTCCCAACCACCCTGACTTCAATGTTCTGTGCTTGAGAATACTTACTATACTTTGTAACATACTGCTTTAAAGAGGATATAAATTCAAGCTTATTTTGTTAACTTCTAGTTTGGTTCCATGTGTAAGAAAACATTTTGGAATGAGTTCTGATTATTACTGGCATATAAATATGTTACGATTGTAAAGTTGCAGTTATTGAATATAAAAACACCCACGTGGTGTGATAATGTGTGTGTTTAATTGGGCTGGGGGAAACCTGTTGTGCCCCTGGTCTCTGGGCTGGGGGAACCTGCTGTGCCCCTGGGCTCTGGGCTGGGGGAACCTGCTGTGCCCCTGGTCTCTGGGCTGGGGAAACCTATTGTGCCCCTGGTCTCTGGGCTGGGGGAACCTGCAGTGCCCCTGGTCTCTGGGCTGGGGGAACCTGTTGTGCCCCTGGTCTCTGGGCTGGGGGAACCTGCAGTGCCCCTGGGCTCTGGGCTGGGGGAACCTGCTGTGCCCCTGGTCTCTGGGCTGAGGGGCAGAGATGCGCACTCATCGGGAAGAGGGTGAGCTACACGCGGTGCCTGGCGGCTGAGTGACGCTGGAACGCCTGCCCCACCCCACCCCCAGGAGCCCAGCGGTGTTTCTGCTTCTGTCTGGCACACGTCCACAGATGGCCGTGTGCCCTCGTCTTGTGGCTGGCTGCCCAGCCCCGTTTTCACGGTGGGCATCTCTCTCTCCATTTCCATCCTGTCCAGAGCACACCATGGCCACCCCCCTGGAGGATGTTGGCAAGCAGGTGGGTAGGTCTCACCTGCGTCTGGGGTTCTGAAGGGGCCTCCCGAGCCCCGCGTCACCTTTGTCCCATCTTCCCTGCAGGTGTGGCGGGGTGCGCTGCTCCTAGCCGACTACATCTTATTCCGGCGTGACCTCTTCCAGGGCCGCACTGTGCTGGAGCTGGGCGCGGGCACAGGGCTCGCCAGCGTCGTGGCAGCCACCGTGGCGCGGACCGTTTATTGCACAGGTGATGACGTGATGTCCTCACAGAGCAGACCGCTGTGTAATAAATGAGGCAGAAGCAGTCGGAAGTGGGCGTCGGACCTTAGCTGCTGTTGACTTGCTATCTGGTTTCCCTGGAGGCTGTACCCCACCCTCCATTTTTTCTGGATGGTGCCCAAATGGCCAGCAGGCGCCAGTGTCTGGCACTTCTGTGGGCCCTGTACTCCCACTCCAGGAAGCTGTAAGGAGGACGTCTTCCAACAAGTGGGTGACTGTTCCAGAGTGTAGAAGTCTTGTCTGTTTCTGGTAGAAAATTTGTCAAACAGCAAATAGAGCTTGCTCATGATTGTACAGCGCCCACTCCACTCACAGTGAGCAGTCTGTTGAGCTCCTAGCACAGGTCCCTGCCCGCCGGGGTTCTCGGGGTGCTTATACTCTCGTTTTACAGTCTTTTCCTGCATGTGGTAAAGCCCTTTCACCTGTGTCGCCCTCCAGTTGCAACCTTGCAGTGTCCCTGGGCAGTAGCCAAGAAGCCCGGTGCTGTCCCCTTTGTCCACGTGGCAGAGGCAGAGACTAATTGGCCCACATCATACTGAAGCTACTTGCAACACCAAGACCTCAGCCAGGCCCCGGGCTCACTGTGCAGTGCCTTGGTCCTGGGCATGGTTTTCAGAGTCCTGTGAGCAGGCTCTCAGGGCTGCAGGGCTCCTGCCCCGTTCAGGCAGAGCTGCTCTCCCTGTGTTCCCGCTGGAGCCCCGGGTGAGGTGTCTGACAGAGCCATCGCAGACGCTTAGAAATGGCTGAATGCCTGGCCTTGTGCGACATCCTATACCCAGGAGAAGGGATAGGCCCGTCCCTCCCACACCAGGCTCTGGGTGGCCCCTGGGTGCAGACGGGCTAGTCCCTGGGGCGGTTGCAGCTGGTGGGGGTGGGTCCACACCCGCAGTGGCCAGCCAGCATCATTCTCCGCCTTCCACGTGGGGGTTCTCCCAGTTGAAATTAGTTGGGCGAAGCCCTGCTCCTTCCAGAGATGAGAAGTCCCCCTCGTCCGAGTTGCCAGGCAGTGAGCCACAGTCCAGGGCGCGAGTCCCGGCCCATTTGAATCCACTCTGCACCCCTCAGTTAATCCTGTCTGGTGCCAGAGGGCAAGCCTGAGCTTGGGGTAGGGGAAGCCTGGCTTCAGAGCCCAGCCTTGCTCCCCTCTGCCCCGGCGAGGGTGCAGGTGCTTCCAGACACTAGGAGGGGAGGTGCTGGGTGCACAGAGCCCGTCTCCCCCCAGGAAGAAAATCCTTTACTCGAGGAAAACCACTGAAAACAGCTTTCAGGGGCCGTATTTAATGTAGAGAACCACGCAGGAGCCGTTTCTCCCAAGTCCGGTTGTCACCGTCGGCTGTCTCTAGGCAGAAGCGTGGAGACGAAAGCACCGTGCGGCTGCCGCTGTACGGCCTGGCCTCTGTCGTTGCAGATGTCGGTGCGGACCTCTTGTCCATGTGCCAGCGGAACATCGCCCTCAACAGCCACCTGGCAGCCCCTGGAGGTGAGGCCTAGTGGGGCTCCTGCCCAGGAGGGAGGTTTCCCTTCGTGCAGCAGCACGCAGCAGGAGGGACAGACAACCAGGAGGCCGGGCGTTCCTCGTCCCCTTGGCATCAGGTGAATGGGGCAGTGCGTGCTGTCTCGGCTCCAGGAGCTCCCGCACACAGTCTGTCTGGGTCACCACCTTCTCACGCCCACTGTCGCATCCTGCTTCAGCTTCCGCTCACCTGGACACCTCCCTGGCTCCTTCCGGCTATCCTCCACATCTTATCTTGAGTGGTCCTTGTCGGGTACAAGCCTGGCCCCTCCTTCCCTGGGGCTCGTCACCTCCAGCTCTTCCCCAAATTCCCATGCCTCCCTGCCCTGGCCCTGCCTTCCCTGCTGACAGTGGCTCTGCTCTTGGCCTGGGGAGGTCCCGTCTGTCTGACTGTCAGGTCCCAGCACAGCCTTAGGTGACGGATGATGACGGTGTTCTCTAACTGGGCAGCCCGTCCTGACCCCACTTCCAAACACCCTGGGGGGCTTCTGCAAACTGGGGTCACCTGGTCCCGGAGGCATTGCTCTTTGCACAAAGGCAGATTCCTTTGCCAGTCCTGTCTGCAGGGTCTGAGCTGCCCCCCGTAGCCTCTGCGCCACCAGGCTGGTCTGAGCTGCCCCCCGTAGCCTGTGCACCGCCAGGCTGGTCTGAGCTGCCCCCCCCCCCATAGCCTCTGCACCGCCAGGCTGGTCTGAGCTGCCCCCTGTAGCCTGTGCACCGCCAGGCTGGTCTGAGCTGCCCCCTGTAGCCTGTGCGCCACCAGGCTGCCTGCGCTCCAGCCTCCCTGGCCTGCCTTGAGGTTGCCCTCCCAGGCCCTCTGCGCTCATCATCAGGGGCAGGTCTCTGACACGAGGGTCATTCCCCGACAGACTGGCAGTCCCTGAACATAGCATCTGCTGTGTGAGTGGCTGATGTGTCTGCCAGCCCAAGTAGACGACAAGCCCCATGGGGCAGGGACGCTGTCCGAGTGTGGTCACCGCTGCCCCGTGTGCTGGCGTGTTCAGTGGGCAGTCAGTAAAGATGACGAGGGGAGCAGGCGTGTCGTCGCCGTCCCAGACGTGCCACGTCTGACACGGGCTCCCTTCTCTCCGTGTGTGCGTGTGGGTCATCCTTTCCACATCCCCCGACCACCCCATCCTGTGGATTTCTGGCAGCCTGCCAGTCTCCTAGGGTGGCTGTACCCCAAGGATGGAGCCCATGACGCGGGAACCTGTGTTTCCTGTGGTAGTCACGCTTAGCCTTCCAGAAGTGCCCAAAGGATGGAGGGTGGACGGGAGGAGCAGCAGGTGCGTGGTTTGGCGTGTGGTGTGGGAGGTTATCTTTTTCCTAACTCGGCAGAGTCGGCACAGTCTGGCTTTGTTTATGCAGGTGGTACGGTGAAGGTCAAAGAGCTGGACTGGCTGAAGGATGACCTCTGCACAGGTGTGTGTTTCCTCGGGGTGTGCTTTGGCTCAGGGTTCCTCTGCAGGACCTCGAGGCTCCGTGGGCGTGGTTGAACAGCAGTGCCCCAGCTCTCACCAGCATCCCCCACGCCCCACCCCCAGCACCATGGCAAGTCCCGGCAGCTGGCCAGTGAGCGAGCGTTGCCTTTCCCTGAGGACTTGCCATGTGCTGGGCCCTTACACTCGTGTTGTTATTCAGGCCTCACAGTGTCACAGTGTGGTAGATATGAGGAGCCCTAAATGAGGAGTGGAGATGGACGGAGAGGAGGAGGGCCTGCCACAGTCGCCCAGCTGGCATGTGCAGGGCCGGGGGGTAGGGGGTGAGACCAAGTCTGTCGGCCTGGGGCATCAGCCATTTCCCGGCAGGTGATGTGCCAAGAAGCCCTGGGGTGGGCTCCATTCCCGCACAGACTTTCCGAGCCGGCACTGCTCTGGAAACTTCTTTCCCCATCAGATGTCAGACTGGTGGGGGAGTGGGTGGGTCCACTGACCTGGCCGGAAGTGTGCAAGCTAAGCCCCCAGAGGAGAGGCGGGGTGGGGTGGGGTCGGCTGGCACCTGCCTGCCCCTCCCCAGCAGGAACGGCACCTCTCACGCTGAGGCTCCACACGGGCAGCCGTGGCCCTGAAGCTGGGGCACTGGGACTCAGGCCTGCCTGGCGGTGCCCACTGCGTGCAGCTGCCCCCAGTGCCGTCTCTCTTCTGGAAGCTGCTTGGGGGAGTTGGCGTCCAGAGAGGAGTGAGCGCCCGCCGCGCTGTCTTGTCGCGCAGATCCTGAGGTCCCGTTCAGCTGGTCAGAAGAGGACGTCTGTGACCTGTACGCTCACACCACTGTGCTGCTCGCGGCCGAAGGTGAGCGACTCTCCCTCCTGGGCGCTCCTTGTGCTGGGTGTTCGAGTCCTCCAGAGTCCTTTGTGTTCCGGAAGTGCCCTTCCAGGTCAGTCTTCCGCGTGCACGGGCACTTCTGGTGCTGAGGAGCATTCCGGTCCCTGTCTAGGAGTCCCACCCGGGGGCCACGTGGGTCCCTCCGAGCAGCAGGCTCCTCTCAAAGGGGTGTGTTTCCCCCAGCGCTGTCTCTCTCCCCACAGTGTTTTACGACGATGACTTAACTGATGCCCTGTTTAAGACGCTGTCCCGACTCGCTCACAGATTCCATAACGCCTGCACGGCCATCCTGGCGGTGGAGAAGAGGTGAGTGCGCCCTGCTCCGCGGAGCTGAGCCGGCGGCCTGAGGGCGGCAGACACTGGCCTTGCGCTGCCGCGTCGTGACTCACTGCCACGCACTGAGCGCCGCTGTGCTGGCCCGTCCCGTGCCTTCCTTCCCTTAACCCGCGTGCTGGCAGCCCTGGGAGCGGGTGCTGCCTCCCACTTGACAGGAAGAGGGGGGTCTGCAGCACGCCGGGGACTGTACAGGCCACGGCTAACGAGAGACAGACTTGAATGCACACTCGAATGCCACCATGCTCCGTCGAGGACCTCTGTCTCTTCCCCTCCCCCGACCAGGCGGCTTCCTCACCCTGCAGCCTCTCTAGGAAGTGTCCACTCGCGCGTCCGGGCAGGCTACAGCTCCTGCTGCTGTCTGCCTGGTGGGAGCCACAGTGCTGGACGCTTCGCACACACTTCTCGGTACTCACACCGTCCCACGCTGCTCCCACGGAGCTTGGGATCTGCAGCAAAGGCCGTAAAACGAAACCTCCTTAACCCAGCAGTGCAGCGTCTAGCATTCGCCCAGTGGAGTGCTCAGGGCTGGGCACAGCGCCGTGAGCCGCTGCGTGTTGCGGCCTCGTGCATCCTGGCGATGGCGGGGACTCTGAGGAGCTCACAGCCCGTGCCAACGTGGGACCTCATGCGTATCCTCGTCTCAGATGGAAAGGAGAAATCAGGACAGTCAGGAAAGGTTAAACCCGCGTGTTTGCAATCAAAGACTTAGCCCCAAATTAGTTTCACCTGAGGATTCTTGGGAGGCGCCCACTGCAATATTTACAGAGGAAATGCTGGTGTTTGTCAGCCGTCTGAGCAGGGGGCTTGTTTTGCGGGAGGACCATGGAGAGCAGGGTGCTGAGTGACTGACGCTGGGTGATGGGCTCAAGATGCGGGCAGCTCGGAGGGTGCAGAAAAAATGGCTTTAAAAGTCTGAGTTTATTTTGGTGCAAAAAGGTTTTAGGCCGGCGCCGCGGCTCACTAGGCTAATCCTCCGCCTAGCGGCGCCGGCACACCGGGTTCTAGTCCCGGTTGGGGCGCCGGATTCTGTCCTGGTTGCCCCTCTTCCAGGCCAGCTCTCTGCTGTGGCCAGGGAGTGCAGTGGAGGATGGCCCAGGTGCTTGGGCCCTGCACCCCATGGGAGACCAGGAAAAGCAACTGGCTCCTGGCTCCTGCCATCGGATCAGCGCGGTGCGCCGGCCACAGCGCGCCAGCCGCGGCGGCCATTGGAGGGTGAACCAACGGCAAAGGAAGACCTTTCTCTCTGTCTCTCTCTCTCACTGTCCACTCTGCCTGTCAAAAAAAAAAAAAAAAAAAAAAAAGGTTTTAAAATCCATGTAGAATAGTTTTCTTAAGACATTTTCCATGTAATGTGAAACAAGCTTTTTACACCAAAATAAACTCATACTCTAAATTCTATTTATTTTAGAGAGGCAGAGAGAGAGAGGTCTTCCATCTACTGGTTTACTCCCCAATTGGCTGCAATGGCTGGAGCTGTGCCGATCCAAAGCCAGGAGCCAGAAGCTTCCTGCAGGTCTCCCATGTGGGTGCAGGGACCCAAGCACTTGGACCATCTTCTGATTTTCCAGGCCACAGCAGAGAGCTGGATCGGAAGTGGAGCAGCCAGGTCTCAAACTGGCACCCAGATGGGATGTTGGTACTACATGCAGCAGCTTTACCTGCTGTGCCACAGTGCCAGCCCCTAAATGCTGCCCTTGTACTGCCCCGTGTGAAGTTTCTCACAGAAAGCCCAGCAAAGAGATGAAGAACTTGAGTTTCAGGGTACATCGCCTTGCAGTTCGGGTGGTCAGGGTGCGAGTGGCGCGGTTGGCTGACTGCGTTCTGAAGCGGCCCTCTCTGGGATCTGCGTCACCGCCGACTTCCCGGCGGTGTCGCCTCCAGAGCCTTCCTCCTGCCCCAGACAGCTGGGGCAGCTCCAGGTGGCAGAATGCAGGCTGCAGGCGTCCTGAGGCATTGGCCAAGACTGCCCCTTTCGCTGCTGGGGGGCTTCCCGGAGGCGGGGGCTCTGTCTCAGGGTTGTGAGCAGCCACCTGAGCCTCAGTGTCCGCATCTGTGAGATGGAGGCGGTCAACCCTGCTGCCTCCAGGCTGCCCTCCAGATTCAGGAAGGACTCGTGCTCAGTGCACGCCCACCCACAGGAAATGAGGTCAGCGAGGTGGCAGGAAGCAGGCCGGCAGGAAACAACAGGATTGACGGCCGCTTGGTTTGCAGGCTCAACTTCACGCTGAGGCACCTGGACGTGACGTGTGAGGCCTACGACCACTTCCGCGCCTCCCTGCAGGCGCTGCAGAGGCTCCCGGACAGCAGGCTGCGCTTCGTGGTGGAGCCCGTGGAGGCCTCCTTCCCACAGCTGCTGCTCTACGAGCGCATCCGGCAGCTGGTAGGTGTGGGTCGCTGGGCTGTGAAGCCCTGGCTCCTGGGCAGAGGAGGTGGTGCGCCCCTGCCCACAGCCCTGCGCTGTGGACTGGCACAGCGCCTGGGGAGCTTGGGGGCCGCACCTGTTCTTAGTGCTCACTGTGGGCTCCAACACGCATTCTTTCCCTGGCCACAGTTCAGACTCCAGAGTAAGCAGGACCTAAAGGAGCAGGAAGTCAGTGCAGGGACCGCGTGGGTTCAGATCTTGAGGTGGGGGCCGCAGTGTGGCTCTAGGCGGTCTCACGTTCAGTGTGGACATACGCTGGCCCCTCAGACCGGACAGCTCTGTGCTGGTACTGCCAGCCCTCCCCTCGGGGCACTGTGTGGTCACCACCTGCCAGCAACGGCAGCGCTTGCGTCCACTGCCACGCTCCGCACTCACGTCGACAGCCAGCAGGAAGTGCTAGAGCTGCGGCCACGTCTCTTCCTCTAAACCCAGCACTAGGGAAAGCTTGAAGAGTTGAAATGACCCTTGAAAATCCCTCAGGATTACCAAGAGCAGGGGCATGGAAGCCCAGAGGTGGAGGACTCGCCGCCTCCCTTTTCTGCCGTTGCCCGTCTCTGGGGCTGCAGAAACTCAGAGGGGAGACTGAGGGAGCAGCCGGGGGCCCTCAGGCCCTGTGCATTCCCTGTGTGCCAGGAAGACACGTTCTGCGCCCTGCCTTGCCACCCCCAGGCAGCTGTGGGCCCACTCGCCCTGTGAGTACAGGACAGACCGAGGCTGCCTGTGCTAGTCAGCGTGCAGAACCTCGCGTGTCCTCGCCCTTCTCCGCCTGCCGGTGCTGAGACCGGGATCCGCTCCGGCACAGTCAGCCGCGGAGGCAGCCGGAGCCTCGGTCCCCAGACGGAGCTGGTGGGACCTGTTGGCCTCCCGGCGCCTTTCCATCCTGGACATCTTGGTGCCCCTGGGCTTCGTCCATGCAGCTCCTCTGAACTGCGCAGCCAAGAAGTGGCCGCCCCTGCCCGGGGCTCGTGTGCTGTGAGACGGCCCTCCCTGGCTAATCACTCCCCGGAGTCGGTGATGGTGGTGCTGGCAGGCGTCAGGGACCTGTCCTTTCTCTCTGTCACAGGAGCTCTGGAAGATCATCGCAGAGCCCGTAACGTGACGCGGCCTCCTCCAGGCACGGCTTCTCCACGGTTCTAGTCCTGTATTTCCGGTAAAATCAACGCTCACCAGTCACGTGCGAGAGGCCATCATTTAAAAATCACGTTCCGTGTACCTCATGGGGCCCAAGCTGCTTCCCTGGGCCTGCCGCCCCCCCCCCCCCCCAGCTGCGGCCAGAGCGCGCCCCCGCCCTGCCCGGGCCGAGGCAGCCGCCCGGTCTCTTGTGCGTCGCGTGGTCCCTTGGAGCAGATGTCCGATTCCTCTCGCATCAGCTGCTCCAGGCACGCACCTCGCTGGACGGGGCCACACAGGTGTTCCCACCTGCCCTCTGCCAGCCATCCACCTGTGTCCGCGCCACAGCCAGTGTAACAGCACCACTGGGCACCAGAGCCTCACCTTCCTCCAGACTTGTTGTGCTCCGGCCGCCGGCCAGGAGGAGTAGGACCAGCCAGCCCTTGTCCTGGGTTTTGACTTTAACCCTTTCTAACCAAAACCAAGTGTGCTCAGCCTCGGCGTGAGGCTGCCCGGGTCTCCCTTTCGCCCTGGCTCACTCCCACCCCCCACCCCCTCTGTGAAGCACTCTGCCTCTGCCCCAGCCCACCCCTCCCTGACCTCACTCCATGTCCTCTCCCGTCTGCCTCTCCTGTTCTCCCCTTTTCCCGCTTGGCCCTCCCTGCAGCCCCTCCCCCCACACACCCTCACCCTGCAGCATACTGCACCATGGGCCGACACTGCCCCTCCTTGCCTGCCCCTCGCCACCCAGGTTTCCCGCTGGCTCCTGCAGTCCCTGCTCATGCCGGCTCCTCCTCAGGGACTAAGAATTTGAAAGCTAAGTTCATTTCACCCTCCCAACAAGTTGGGGAGGTCAGTTGCCTGCCTGTGCCCATTTCACAGTTGAGAAGACTGAGGCTGCAAAAGGAATAAAATCTTTATGAGGTCAGGGACCTTGTTTGTCTTTTTTTTTTTTTTTTTTAAGATTTAACTTATTTTTAAGGCAGAGTTAGAGAACGTCCATTGCTGTTTCACTCCCAAATGGGCACAACAGTAGGGGTATTCCGGGCTGAGGCCAGGTGCGTGGAATTCCATCCGGCCTCACGTGGGGCAGGGCCCACGTGATGGCACCGTCTGTTTTCTCAGGCACATAAGCTGGGAGCCGAATCAGAAGTGGAGTGGCCGGGACTTGAACTGGTGCTCACATCTCTGGCAGTAGCTCAGCCTCCCGCTGTCCCTCCCCTGGTTTTAAGCGTCACCACGTCCCTGGCATAGGACCTGGGACAGCGTGTGGTGCTGGACGGGTGCTAGGAGCACTGGGAATGAATGTGTGTGCGCATCATAGCGTGTTTTGCTTCCGGGGCCATTTGGCAACGCCCTGAGACATTGTCGGTTGTGGCGTGTAGGGGAGACGGCGGTGTCCAGTGGGCCAGGCAGGGACTTTGCTGCAGTGCACAGGGGTCCCCACAGCAGAGAAGGCCCCAACCCAGCATGCGACAGCGCTGGGGCGGAGTAGATCTCACCCGTTAGAAGAGAGCTGGCTGCTTCTGCAAAGAGTGTGTCCCTTCTGAGGCTGAGACGCAGGGGAGGCCAGCACGAGCGGGAGGAAGCCGGACGTTGTCTCTGAGTCTCAGAGCCCGGGAGGGGGCCTGCGCTGTGGTGCAGCAGGGAAAGCCGCTGCCTGCGATGCTGGTATCCCATAGTTCAAGTGCCAGCTGCTCCGCTTCCAATCCAGCTCCCTGCTAATGTGCCAGGGAAAACAGCAGGTGGCCCAAGTCCTTGGGCCCTGTACCCTCATGAGAGACCCAGGTGAACCCCAGCCGTCTGGGAAATGAACCAGCAGCAGGTGGAAGATCTCCCTCCCTCCCTCCCTCCCGCTCCTTGTCTATAACTGATTTAAATCTTAAAAAGACCCTGAAAGACAAACATTTTACATAAGAGAAGTTAAGCCACTTGCCGTGTGTCATACAACTGTCAAGAGCAGAGTAGAATTTGGAACCCGTGTCAGCCTGCTTCCTGGGTCCACACCCTTGTTACACCCCCACGGCGGTCCCCGGGCCAGCAGCATGGCATATCCCCCACGACCTCAACACCTGCGCTCGAACCCCAGGCCTGGGAGTGTGTGCGTGGTCATGTAGGCTGCACTCGGGTCCCCACAGCTCCTGCCACCACCGTGCCTTAGCCTTGACCTGATGGAGCAGATGGCGGCTCGTCTGGGGCGTAGCAGCAGCAGGTCCTCCAGGCACACCCTGCCACGCAGCCCGCAGCCGGCTGGCCAGTGCACCAGTGGTGCCACTGTCCTAGCACTCCTGGGGACAAGCCCATAAATGAAGTTGGCACCCGGCAATAGAGTTGTCATCACTTTGACCTGGCGCATTAGCGCGAGCTGCTCATGTCTGAACCACTGGGCCTGAAAGCCTGGCTGAGCGGAGCCCGGAGTTAATCTTGATCCACTGTAACTCACAGGATCACCAGATTCCACCCCCGGGGCACGCCCTTCGCGCCATTGGCAGTGTGGTGCGGAGTCTGCAGACCGTTAGCATTTTGGTACCACCCAGGCCGGCAGAGTGTGTGTGCGTGTGTGTGTGAGAGGTCCGGCATTCTCAGGGAGATGCATGGCCCAAGGGAGGGGCTTGGTTAGCTGGAGCCCGCACAGGAAGGATTTGTTGGAACCAGTGTGACGCCACGGTCCCCAGCACTGCTCAGACCAGGCCCGTGCAGATCCGCTGGGACACTGGCGATGCTCGAGACCACGCCATGGTGAGCAAGGCTGTGGCGTCTCTTTGGATAAGCGCTCCCCGGAGTTGGACAGGGTTCGGATCCTGATTCTGCCTCGAATCTGCAGGCTGACCTGCCTCTCTGCACCTGGGTTGCTCGTCTGTGGAACGGCGAGACTCCTTCCTTAGGAGGTTCCGTGGAAATTACACCAGGTAAATGGTGTAAATAAATGGAATACTCTCAGCCATAAAGATTTTCCTCGTTTGTAACAGCAGGGATGAAACTGGACGTCAGGGGTTGAGTAGACGAAACTGAAGACAAGTAGACAAGTGCCACGTGATCTCACCCACAGATGGCATCAAGGAAAGTGAACTTGGAGAAGTTAGCGTGCCGTGGCGGTCCCCGGAGGCCGGGGAAGATTGGTTAACAGGCACTAAATTGTAATCAGGTGGAGTAAGTTCTGGGATCCGCCTGCAGTAGAGTGACCACTGTGGTTATGGCTGTGTCCATTTAAAGAGCTAGGATATTCGATGTTCTCATCATGAAGAAGTGTTAAGTGAGGAGCTAGGTTTACCCTGGTTGGGCGTTAGACAGTGTACGCCTGTATGTAGGGCCCTCGCCCTGGCACAGTGGGTTTGGCTGCCACATGGCAATGCCTGCATCCCATCCCAGCTAGTCCACTTCCTCTCCAGCTTCCTGCTAATGTGCCTGGGCAGACAGCAGAAGACGGCCCAAGTGCTTGGGTCCCTGCTACCCCGGGAGACCCAGACGGAGTTCCTGGCTTCATCCTGGCCCAGAAGCGGGTGTCGCAGCCATTTGGGGAGTGAACGCGTGGACAGGTGATCTACCCCTCTGTCACTCTGCCTTTCAAATGCATAAATCTTGATAAAAATGCCTCCTTAAGCTGCTCGATGCAATAAAGCCTTAATCAGAGCTTGGCTGATTCAAGCTGCTTCCCCATCACTTCCAACACGAGCCTGTGGAGGTGAGTGTGGAGTGGAGAAGCCTCGGACACGGCGTCGCCAGGCCACCGGCACCAGCCCCTCTGGAGACGCCTGGCCCAGGAGTACCCCTGTGTACAAAGTCGGCCTCAGACACAGGGGCGGTGATGTGGGGGACGCGTCTTCTGCGAGAGCCAGGCCGTGCGGCAGGGCAGGGGAGGGCGATTGTCAGTGCAGGAAATGAGCTTTGGTGGTCCTGGGTTTACCGGGAGTTCTGGGGCAGGGTGCTGCTATGGGAGCTCCTGGGGGGCCAGACTGCTGGCCGTGGATCCAGCTGCCCTGGGCAGGGCGCACACGGCTCGCTGGGTCCTCCAGCAACACATAGTGCGGAGCCCATTCTGCAGATGGGGAGACTGAGGCCAGGTCATGTAAGTGCTGAGGGATGGAGCCAGGGTTTGAACCCTGGAGCTTACACAGCACACCGTTAACCTCGGGTTGACCTGGTGAGAGACTTTGCCCTTTATGCTACACACACATATTTTACAAGTCTGGGTGTGTGGGTGTGGGTGTGTGTGTGTTTACTGGAAATACAACAGAAATCTAAGTACACACAGACACAGGCACGTATTGGCAGGTGGATCAAGCCAAACTGTTTTTTGAAGATTTATGTATTAACCGAGTTACAGGGGGAGTGGGTCTTCCATCCACTGGTTCACTCCCCAAATGGCCACAACGGCCAGAGCTGAGCCGATCTGAGGTCAGGAGCTTCTTGTGGGTCTCCCACGTGGGCGCAGGGGCCCCAGGACCTGGCCATCTTTCACCGCTTTCCCAGGCGCATCAGGAGGGAGCTGGATCAGAAGTGGAGCAACGGGATACTGGAGCTTCAACCCTTCAATGTCGGCCCCAAACCCAAACTCCTAAGGTGCGGCTTGGCAGCCTGTGTGGGAAGATCAATCAGTGTCGGCCCGAAGTTCTAGAAAGACATGCGGTGTGCAGGGCCAGCATCCATCAGGCAGGCCTGGGGCTGTGAGGACCTGGATGTGTAGAGGCAAGAAGTGGCTGAAGATGCGCGTCATCTGGTTGTCCTAACTGGGACTTGGGTGCGTCCAGGTTCTGGAGGAGGGTGTGGCCACAGTCGGCCCCACCTCGAATCTCACCTGTGTTCCCAGCCCATTCGTCTGGTACAGAAACCCAGCCACCTGGGCGGGAAGGGGGTGGGGCTGACTGGAACCTGCTGAGCCTCTTCCTGAGGGTTGGGGGATTCTGCACCTCGGGGCTCTCTCTCGGGGGGTAGAAGGCAGGATGCAGCGCGTCCCTGGCTGGACACTGCAGACTTGGTCATTTCCCTGCCACGTGGGCCTGGCCCTGGCAGCTTCCAAAAACTGGGACAAGGCGCAGCCCCATCAGAGTGAACACACGAGAATAGCCAGAGAGCGAGCGAGCGAGCGAGTGCACAGCACCCGCGGGACGGGAACCAGCCTTGTTAGGACCCGATCTCAGAAGTGCCACCCAGCCCTGCTGCCTTCTTCCGGCCTTTGCAAGTGAGTCAAGAGTCCAGCCCACACTCGAGGGGAGGGGGATCCCCAAAGACATCTCAGAGGCCCACCAGAGAGCGGCCCTGAGCCCAGGAGTGGGCAGACCCGCCAGCGATGAGGCTGGGCGTCGTGCAGGTGCAGCGGGTGGCAGCTCCCGTCCACGTGCAACAGAGGTCTCCAGAAAGCTCATGCAAGACGCGAATGGGCTTTAAAAAAAATGTTCAGACCAAAGTAAAGTAGGTGCAGGGAAGCAGAGAGCCGGCTGGGAGCTGCTGTGCTGAGCGAAGGAACCTGTGCCGGGAGGCAGGACTTGAATGGAGGCCCAGAGCCGCCAGGGCTCCTTGCTCTGGCCCAGCCTGCAGTGGAGACCGGGCCGAGTTTGTTCCTGGCTTCTGGTCTCCTCAGAGCCAGGTGGTTTTCTCCTCCAGGTTTGCAGGCTGGAGCCCCAGGGAGCACGTTCCTGGCGCGTCCTGTCCCAGCCGGCTCCTGGGAGGACTCACCACCAGGTGGCGCCCCAGCCTCATGGATCAACAGCAGGATGCATCGGCAGACGTGCGAGGCACAGTTGCCAGTGGCCGCCTTGGCCACACTGGGGGGTCCCAGCCACTCTCCGGGGGCCCTAACTAACCTGCTCTCTGTTATACAGTGGCACAACATGACTCCCCTATTCTGATCAAGTTATCACTTATTGACCCTTCACCGTTGATCTCGTTTCTCTGTGGTTCTGCACAGCCATGCTGCACGCATTTCCGAGG